AAAAGTGCATGCATCTTTCCTTCACTCCTCTCTTTTCCCATCCCTCCTTTTGCACATAAGGTATATTTGGTTTGCTTCCATCTTCTCTTATGCAGTGCCTGGTTTATTTAACCAATTAGTACCCTTTTTCTTGATGAGCTATGAAAGCTACAGTAGTTTGCTTTCAGTATTGTTGTTGCACTTGAGACAATACTTTTTTCATAGTATCTCCAGGACATATGAACAGTGCAACTGCAAAACAAGAGCAAAGGCACTTCCTCCCATGTTCTTACAGTAACCATACTGATTGAATACCCAGGGACATTCCATCATTGCAATAGCTCAGATTTTTTCCTTTGCACACCAGCTCTACTCTTTTAGTAAAATTGTAAAAGGCTGCCATTATGGACATTAGGTATCCCAAATAACCATCTGGAGTGTGTCCAGTTTGTTCTTCATAGGACCAATTTTTATTTGCAGCTTGAGATTTTATATGAAGTTGCATTATTGTGGACTTGGCTGTCTTGTGATGAATTTTTTCCATATGTATTCTGTGCCATACTATTGTTAAAATGAACTGTTGCTATTGTGAAGATGGATTTTAACTGACTTATTAAGGATTTCTTTCAAATGGCACTACTTTAGGGACATTCTAGTATTTGCTTCTATTTGTTTGGGCCTTGTGGATAATGTACAGATTTAAAACAAATCTTGTTGCTGATTTGTCCATTTCTTTCCCTGCACTTTGTTACATCTGGGATACAGTCTAACTCATCTGATTTAATATGCATTTAAAAAAATGCCATAACTATTAAACACCTTGTTTACAGACAGATGAAATAAATTTATTCCAACCAAATAATCTAGACTCTTGTTGTTTATGTAAATTGTTGGCTTACTGTTAGTTGACTTTTAACACAGTGGAAACATAGAATAGACTAAAGTCTGCAGCAAGCACAAAAGCTTATCCCTCCCCCCTTCCAAAATACAGCTGATAGCCTACTTTATTTCAAGCAGTATTTATAAATAAAACTCAGTTTCTGGAAATTTCTTTTTAATAATCTTTGATTAAAAATAGATTTCAGGTTCATTTTCAGGTGTCTAAGAGGAAAATTTACGTAGCATCTTATAAATGATTCTAGATGTGATATAAAGTGAGTAATAAGGAGGTCCAGTGCCTAGAAGAGTTTCTGCATTATTGCAGATCCTTCTATGTTTAAAAATCTCATGCTGCTTTAGATTTGGAGACTGTTGGCAGGCTGAAGTTAGCCAACTGGGATAGGACTGTTCTTCTTAAGAGCAGAAAACGTCATATAAGCCTAGTTTCTGACTTTGGAATAGTATGTTGGTAACGGCTATGCAATCATCTGGTTTAATCCCAGAGGTCCAAAGAGCCCTGACAAGTATTGAAGTTTTAGTAGATTGCATACTATTTAAGCAGGTCATTATTACTATGAATTTTCAACAGAAGCTCATAGCACAGATGCTCATAATAAAGAAATTGTGGGTCTACGTGGGAGTCCTGATGTGGCGCTGTGGGCTCATGGCGCTGGACTGCAGAGTCACTTTGAACCACAAGGTCAGTGGTTCAAGCTCACCAGCTTCTCCTTAAAACCCTATACAGGGTTTGTTATGAGTCATAACCAACTTGATAGCACTTAACAACAGCAGTGTGAAAATGTGGAGATGCTTATTGCAGATTCTGGGCTCTATGTATCCTTATAGGTAGAGATTTCATAGACCCAACAAGTCCCTCTTTAGAAACAATCCCTGGGTGACTTAAGTAGGCTGGAAGCTACCCTTTTAGGAGCATTGGTTTAGGGAATATTAATCTCCTTGGCCTTACTGACAAAATTATATTGAGTATAAATAAAATTTCTCTGACATTACTGTCAGGCATTAAGACTTGGTACATAATCAAAAACCCAAACCCACTGCCAGCAAGTTAATTCCCACTCATCTTTACGGTACCAAATAGCCTCCTCTTTCTTCCATGGAGCAGGTGGTGCTCATTTACTTGCACATGCTGTTAAGTGCTGTCAAGTTGGTTCCGACTCATATGGTTTCCAAGGAGTGGCTGGTGAGAGTTTGAACAACCAACCTTGTGGTAGATTTAAAAGTGTGGAAGATGGGGGTTTAGGGTTACTTAAGTAGTTGGGCAAATGCTAGAAATCATAGAAGAGAAACATGGTACCAGCTCATTGACCTGTAAGATCCCTGCTAAGAACAAGTTGCAAGTTGCAAATTTTCATTTGGCTGTTGAGTTGTGGTTGGAGGTTTTATAGTAATGCTTGAGTTGTGAAGAGCTATTAGGGAAATTACTACAGAAAGCAGTAGCCAAAATTGTGAAACCCTTACTGCATGAAAATCTTAATTGATGAAGTATATGTCTGTGTTTGTTGGGTGTGAAGACTAGAAGATAGTAGAGGGCAACTATCACTTAAGTAAGGAAATTAGCCATCAGCTCCTTCCTTCCTTCCATTCCATTAACCAAAACAGTTATGAGAAATAGATGTATATATATATATATACATACTTTGCTTATTTCTTAGTTCCTTGAATTTAATGTAAGGAAATTGAACTATACAAAGTTATATACTGGAAGTTCCATCATATAGCATTACTTAGAATAATCAAACAGATCAATTTTGAGAAACTCAGGGTGAATAAATTATATCCCTAGGATGAAAAACAGTCATTGAAGTATGAACACAAGAAAATGCTCACCACTGAACATATGAGGATATAATCAGATTTTATATACATTGTAAATACATACATATATACAATAGTGTAAAATACACATGTACTTTACAAACATTTCTGAAGACAGTATCTCAAGATGATACATTTATCTCTGGGCTAAGTTTCCAAGTGACTATTTTGATTTCGGTGTTTAATACTACTTTTATAATTAGAAAATATTTTAATTAGGAAGGTTTTCTAAACATATAAAAATCAAATTTTAATTATACTGAATTTCCTATTCAGAAATCCCCATAGTTATGTCATCAAGTGACTATCAAGAGAAATAGTTAATGTTCTAACCAGTGCTATTAAATAAGATGCCTCATTTTTTTTCTTTTTTTAAACAATGAAAACTAATCCTTTGGAGTTTCAAAAAAAAAAGTTTTTGCCGTAGAAACACGCCTTACTTTAAGGCACCAGGTCCTTGATCTGAACAGTGAGTTATGGGCTGAAAGAAGGTAACATTTAGTTCACTAATATGTGGTTATATCCTACCACACTTAATAACTTTTTAAAAGTTTTAGGTATGATGCTGCTATTTTAATTTAAAGATTACAGTGAATGAGATTACTGTGTATGTGCCAGGCATAATGCTTTGTTCTCATACCCTACCTTAATTTAATTAAATTATGCAAATTACCATACAGAATTAGGAAGGTTAGGGTCATACAGATATGCCAAATTCCAAATAGCTTTGTTTTAACTACCATGGTAAAAATGTCTCAAGAGATTTTCTGAAATAAAATTGTTTGATAGCCTGATTCTCAGGTTTGTATTTTATAAAAGGGGGTGGGGTGGGTGGAGAGATGGAGTAGTATCAGACGATAAATACTGAATTCAACTTTTATTTTCCAAAGTGGAAATAACTTTTTTCCCCCAATTTTAAGTTTTGAAAAAGTGAATTTCTAATCCTTTCATTTAAAATTTATTAATTTTTTACAACAAAAGACACCCCCAGACATTTCATATCCTTGTTGTTCTATAAGTTTTTATTAGTGTCATATTAATATTTTCCATTTTAATACAGAGCTGTGTTTATCTGTTCAGGACCATGTAGTTGTCTAGTATAAGGATGTACCATAATTTAACAATAGTGTACCACAGTGTACACTAGTAGAATAATTTTGGCTGCAGTCTTTTTAATTTAGGATTACATAATTGTGGGCAGTTACCTTGTATAAAATTTTAAGGTGATGTGTATTTATCTGTCATACCTTGATAGCACTGCATATTAATAAGGCTAATGTGATAAAGTAGTACTATAGTAGAACAAACATATGCTGGTTTTTAAAAATGGAAAACATGTTTATTAACATTTATACTCTCCTTACAAGGCCATGTAAAAAATCATAGCATTTTGATTATATGTCTCTATTTTCTACATAATTACAATAATATATAATATAATTTAGTTTTTCATAATACATTGTTAAAATACACCATTAATTCTGTTAAACATAAGCATTAATTTTCAAATCCAATACTTGAACAGTTTTCTCTCTACATAGTTTAGGAGGGTGAATAGCATGAAATGCTCTTTATTAAGAGGTATATGATCTGAGTATGAACAGCTGCTGAAGTTCAGTATTTTCAGTTTTCTTTTTGCTTTGATCGCCACAGAAAACCCAAAGGATACTAAAATTCATCAAGCAAAATTCAGAAAAATTAATTGTTCAAATTCATACATAATATTATAGTATTAAAAATCTTCAAAAAAAAATTATTATTATTTTTTAATGTTATTTCTGCACTGGCATGGACCATTCCTGTGAGGATAACACTACTTGGGGATAGGAAAGAAAAAGAGTTCTGAGTAGATCTTTTCTTTGTGGTGCTGATAAAGACGAAAATAGTAGAGTACACCTTGTTGACTTCTCCATCACAATTCTGAGAAATAGCAAAACATACATATTCTAATTCAACAACTTTTGAGTAACTTTATGGAAGTGGTAGTTGGCTTAACTCATGCTAGATAACAGCAGCACTGACCTTTTGTGTAAAACAAAACATTTGCATACTTTGATGTGGTCTTAATTGCAAGCTTACTCTCAAGATTAAAAAAAAAATGTTTTGGCTCTTTTCCATTCCAAAAGCAAAGTTGATGAAATGAAGAACTGAGAAATACTGGATCAAAAATTCGGTTTCTGTCATCTGATTAAACTGTAGAATACTGAAAAAGTTATTTCTACAGAAACCTCTGAAGGGATCCAAAAAACCACATGATGTACCTAAATAAAATTTTAAAGAGAAACAAACCAATCACCCACTGAAGGTCAAACAGTATTTGCTATGTTGTAATCTAGTTCACCATTAGGCTGCAGTTGGACCACGACATTATGTTCATTAATTTCATTTTCTGCGTCACTACTGTCAGTATCTTCATTATCATCTTCTTCATAGTCTGACGACTCTGTCATGTTCTGATGTGAGCGGGATTCTGACAAAGCCCCAAATGACTGAGTGCTGACAGAAGCCAAATGTCTAAGTAAAGGGGTATGTTCTGACACTTCATTTTCTTCTTGACTACTGTCTGTATCAGAATCTGAATCGCCTTGAGAAGGAACAACTTTTTGCTTGCAGACTGGACAAGTTTTTTTTGTTTTAGTTAGCCAAGGGTCTACACATTTGCAGTGGTAAGCTGTTAAAGCGAAATATACATTTTTAGTTAGTAAACTGATTGAGAGCATTATATTTAATCTCTAGTCATGTTTGTTTATTTAGTGTTCTTCTGATCCATATGCAGGTAGGGACAGGAGAAGAAAGTTTATAAATTTTTATAAGTACATATCATCCTTTAATGAGACCACTAATTAGTACAAACCTTGGCTTGTGATTTGCTAAGTACTATTTTCCGTCTCTCACCTCTAATATGATCCCCTAAATGTAAACTACTCTATACATAAAATAAACTTAAACTAGTGTGTAATTACTCATACCATGAGAACAGGGAAGGATTCTGAGCTTGTCACCATCTTCATACTCATCCAAACAAATGGCACATACATCATACTCATCTCCTATAACAAAAAATAGTAACAAATTAGGATGTAGAACAGTAGTCTCAAGTTTTCTAACTATTTAGGTTAGGTCTTTCTCAATCCATTGTTTTAAAATTTTTATGGGATGCCTTTTGTTTAATTTCCTGTCAGATGCAGGGAACTGCTTAACTGTTCAAGTTGAAGGACTTGAATATGTTATTAACCTTTTACCTAAAACAGTCAATTGGAAATAGATGTCAAATTTGTATACCTTATCAAATAAAGATGGAAACATGTTAGAACATACTCCTATGTTTTTAATACATTCCCTTTGCCATCTAATCAATTCTGTCCCCATAATGACTGCAGAGGATCAGAGTAGAACTGCCCCAGACGGTTTCCAAGGCTGTCATATCTATGGAAGCAGATTGCCAGGTCCTTCTGCTGGTCAGGGACACATGAGCTTGAACCTCCACAAAGTTTTTGAGCCCCCTTGAACAGTAGGCTTTAGTTCAGCAGCCAAGAACTACTAAGCTGCCAGAACTCCTTTTAAAATACATTAGCAAAAACAGATTTTCAATGAGATACATTGGATTTCACATCATAGCCTCCCAACATTTAGCAGTTGAAATTATTTAGCTTTTGATACCCAGCATCTACTTTGAAGGGTTGTGAGGATTAAATGAGATATGTGCAAAAAACCAGACACAACCTATTTTATAAATGGTGATTATTAATGTCATTGCTGTTTTGTTTTATTGCTGAATTTATAATGCCTCTCTCCAAATATAACCGTGTCTAATCTCTGAAACCTGTAAATATGTTAAATTACATAGCAAAAGCGAATTAATGTTGCAGGTGGAATTTCAGTTGCTAATCATACTTCTAATCTGCCAGAATTGTAAGCAAAATAAATTTATAGTGTTTTAAGTCACATAAGTTTGTGGTAATTTGTTACAGAATCAATATGAAACTAACAGTATTTTATCTGAGTCACTACTGTTGTTAAAGTGCCGTTGAGTCGGATCCGACTCAATGACCCTGTATAGGGTTTCCAAGAGGAGCGGCTGGTGAGTTTGCACTGCAGACCTTGTAGTTCAAATCGACCTTATCCAGTGCTTATTCTAAGCACCACACCAGGATTCCTAAGTTGAACAGAGTTGATATTCAGAGTCACTGAGCGTTCATATCAATCTTCTGAGTGTAAATAATGGACTTATATTGATCTTTCCACATTTTCTTGCCACAGTATTTACTTTGATGATGACAGGTCAGGATTCAAAGATGTCACTTGTGATCATGGACCAGATTGGAACCTAGAGCTTTATAGAATGCTAACACCCACAGCCTTGGATGTGCGAAGAAAGCACATTAGAATGTCTGGGGTTCATACTTTGGTGCATTTATTTATAATTATATATGTAACCTTGTAGAAGATAACTTTCCAATACAGTTTTCTCAAAGGCAAAAAACAAAACAAAAAAAAAAACAATAATATACTCATGTTGTTAAGGATTATAGGAGATAATGCATGTATGTAGAGTACTTTACATAGTGTTTGACACATACCAGGGGCTTCAAAATGTTTGTGGGGAAATTCCATTTTAATTCCATTCTTCCATGATTTTTTTTAGAAGCCCTTTTGAACAGTACATATTAACCATATCTACTTCTGATTAGAATGGCACATTGGTTCTAGTATGCACCCTGCAGACTGGCTCATAGGCTGCTTTCTAATACCTGTGTGCTATCTATTCCACCAGATGAACTGTACGCTTACAAAGAGCTTGCTGTGATGGTCATTGAACCTAATTGTTGTTACTTACGATAATTATATAATTAAATATTCAGCAGCCCATGAACTGTGAGTGTAAAAGCTTACTGGTTTTATTTGTAAGCCAGGTTGAATGCATTACAAACACTTAATATAAGTAGTTATAGCCGCACCTATGTGATCCACCCTAAGTCCTGCCAGGGCCAAATATTACTAAATTAGATATGGACAAGTAAATTGTAAAAGATTAGTCAAACATGTATCAGTAAAAAGTAGAAGTGAAAGGAGAATCTAATTCTTGTATACTTTAAAGAACCTGAAAGTAGAAATGGCATAAAGTACATTACGTACCATGATAACTTGGAAATCAAGTCAGCAGATTAATTTTCCAAATAAATGACTGACGCCTCATATCAACCCACTGTTAAGCTATCAAAAGATAAGGCATTTGTATAGTTTATAATTTATGTACATTTTTTGTTGTTAAGTGCCGTCGAGTCAATTCCGACCCACAGTGATCCTGTATGTATATTTAGCAGATCTTAAAAATTGACCAATTGCTTATTGGTTCCAATAGTATAAAATAAGAGGGTTGTAACCACTGTGTAATAAATGTTAGTTATTCTTAATATTAACACTATATTAGAAAGAAAGTTCTGTTACTTAGTATAAACTAGTAGTTCTCAGTTAGGGTCAATTTTGTCTCCCAGGGACATTTGGCAATGCCTGCGACATTTTGGTAGTCAAACTGGAGGATCATACATCCTACAATGCTCTGGAGAGCTCCACAACAAAGAATTATCCAGCCCAAAATATCAAGTGTTGAGGTTGAGGAACCCTGGAATAAATCCCTCTGGGCTTTATCAAACAAAGGCTTTGTTAATTTTCACTGGTGGATCAAGTGTGTAGAAGGCCCATGGAAGGGGTGAGATTCATATATGTTATGTGAAAATATGGAAATGCTTCTGTGTCGAGTATTTTTGGCATTACTGTTACTTGAAAAGTTTCACGACATCACTTAAAGTCTCATCAATCTAGGCATGTTATATACTTAGGTGGGCAGAACTTTGGCTTTCCCTTAGAACCCTGTTCCTTCCTAATTTCCCCCTATTTCAGTATATTTCAAACACAAAACCTACATGAGGTACAGCAAAGGTATTTGCTCATCAGAATAGCAATCACATAAACAGGAAGGCCCAAGACAACCAGTGCAGTATGTGAACTGGCTTGGACGTAAGGTGTCACCAAGCCCTGGAAACTTTTATCTGCAAAACATCCTCTGCATCTATCTATTCTTTCCATCTCTTCAATTACTCTGGTCTTAACCGCTTGTCATACTGTAATGACATGTATGTTACTGTGATGGTGGAAGCTATGTCAGCAGTATTTTAAATATCAGCAAGGTCACTCAGGGTGGACAGATTTTAGTGGACCTTCTAGACTTAAGACTAGGAACAAAAGCCTGGTACTATGCTTCTAAAAATTAGTCAACGGAAGCCCTGGGAATCCAACAGAAGATTGAGATAATATTGGAAAATGAACCTCCAATGTTGGAAGCCACTCAAAATATACTGTGCATATAACAATGAACTCCAGAATACAATAGTTGTGAAGGTAGTGGCACAGGACTGGGCAATATTTCATTTTGATGTGTATGTGGAGTTGCCATAAATAAGAGGTGATTGATTTATGGCTACTACCAACTATCTCAGTCTCCTCTCTGGTTTTCTTTACATCTGTTCTTGCTCCCTGCCTTCTCTCCATAACCAGTGATATTTAAAAATGTAAATCACATCATATCAATCCCATGTAAGTTGCTCTCGATCTCACTTAAAATCTCAGTTCCTCATTATACCCTTCATGTAATGGAGTAAGATAGGACCGTCTCCTATCTCATCTCTTACAGTCTGCCTTTCACTCAATAGGCTCCAGTCACACTGGCTGCCTTTCAGTCTTTGAACAAACTAAATACAAAAGTAAGTAAGGTACATTGGACCATGCTACAACAAAAACAATACTGACATAAAACCAGAGATAGATAGAAAACCATTTCTAGAGAGGACTAAAAATTGATGAGTTTAACTGTTCCATTTTATAACATTCATTCAGACCTTGGGAGCCCCTAGTGGCACAATGGTTAAATGCTTGCTTAGCTGCTAACCAAAAGGCTGGTAGTTTGAACCCACCCAGTGGCTTTGCTGGAGAAAAGACCTGTTAAAGATTATAACCTATGAAACTGAATAGGGCACTTTTACCTGTTTGCAGGGTCCTAATGAATCAGAATCTCTACATACTTGACACATAACAACAGGTCAGACTTTAAGACAACCAACCAGAATAGGATTTTTTAAAATAAAGGGTAAAAGAGATTGAACATTTAGGACAGAATACAACTTTCATAAGAGTTAATGGCAACACTACACATTATTATAAATAAACCCAGGGAAGGTGACTCAATGAATGCATGAACTTCAAAGCAAATGTTACTGCCCTTGTAGAGGAGTATGTTCCTAGTTATTCCCTGCTTTTGGTAGTAAAAGAAACAATGGCAGCTTTTTCTAGAAAAAGTAAATCTTCTCTCCTCTTCTTCATACCATTTTCCAAGAAATTGGAATTAAAGACAATAGTATAAAATAGTTTTAAAGCCAGAATTCCTTGAGAATCTTCACTAATTATTTTCAAGCCCTTATCAAAGTAATTAATATTTACTTAAAAACTTGGATTAAAGGTAGTTAAATGTGGTTATAAAAAGTATAAAAATTAAGTATTGCTTTTATATAATCTCCTATAAAATGCTATGTTGCTGTTTTTCAATCTCTGAAATAAAAACCTTTCTCCTATACATATTACCTTGGGGAACTCTTCATGATTAAGCTTTATTTTTATCACTGTTTCAGGGATCTGGCTCTTTTAGGAGACGGCTCTCAAACAGCCTGCCTTAAATGCTCGGTAGAGGGACAGCTAAGTGAAAACATGAAGATTTTCCATCTGTTAGGAAACAGTGTATGGCAACGAGTCCTGTGTACAAACTTAGAGAAATACACTAATTGAATGATGCAGTCAACTGGAAACCACAATGTCAATGAAAGCAATATTAAGTAATGAAATTTATTAGAAGCTAGTTGGTTCAAAAGCAAGAAAACAACTAAAAGCCTATTTTTATTTTACATGTTCTGGAAATGGCCAAGACAATATACTTAAATCACATATTAATCAGCACAAGCATTTCTGAAAGCTGCAAATGTGAAGATAAGAAAGATAGGGA